TATGGAGTCCCTTTGTATTACCTATATCATCCTATAAATAGAGGGTTTGGGCATCACATTGTACACACTTGAATACATGGAAGAAATAGATTCTCTCCTCTCTTTCTCTCTACATAGTTGTCTATCTTCTTGTTTTATGTATTACTTTGAGCTAAGTTTCGTAACACGTTATCAGCACGAGTCTCTAACCAAGATTTGAGTTTGGTTCTTCTTCCGCCCATGTTCTGATTAGTCTCATTACGAGAATCAGAAAAGAATAACTACTATAACTAGTAAGTACAAAAGCAGGTAAGTGTGAGGTTGGACTTGAATGAGAGTCTGCTATGCTCCAGGTTTACTGCTCCATTATTTATGTTGTGTTTTTAAGTCTTTTGAGTTGACAATTTAACTTCCCAATAATTTTCATTCTTGACCTTGTCTAAATTATTAAAGTTTAGAAAACCGAATAGGTAATTGAATTTTTTTCAGTATGAGTTTGTGTCAGTTACATGAATTCTTGGGGTTATGGCTTATGTTATGCTGGTAATAGTTCCTCCACTGCATCTAGTATTTTGATTACAAAGAAAAGGAAATCGGTAATTATAATTTTAATAAATATTTGACCCACCACTCAATGGCCCCTATAATTGTGTGCACTTTTACTTGTAAGTGGCCTTACCTGATAACTTTGAGCTAACTGGATATATAAAAAGTGATTATTCTAAGGTTATATTTGTGTGCTTATTTTTTGTTGTTAGTGATATTGATAATAGTAAGAAAGTTTGAGTTATTAGTACCGATGAAATTTTTCTCACACTTTTGAAGTACTCATGAATTGTATGACTTACATATTGTTGTCATTTTTTTAATATAATATACTGTGAACTAAATTTTTTCAGAGTCTTGTAAGAAATAGTTGATCTCATTTATATCTTAAAGAAGTCAAAATTACATGCGATGAGTTGATGAAGTACTAATGTTTATAAAATTGTTATAACAGAATGGTTTTATGCATAAACATTATATGTGGCCCTGTGGATAAGTGATTTAGAGGACCAAGGATGAGCCTCAATTGTATTTTGGTCTATTATGCTATTGATTGAGGGTAAGACGGTGGGTTCAAGTCTCATCGTACCTTGAGGGTAAGACACTGGGTTTAAGTCCTAGTGCACCATGATAATAAGTAGTTGGGTTCGAGTCCCAATGCATTATGTCCTAACATGCCTTTATATGGATAATGCATTGGGTTTGAGTCACAATGCACTGTATTGATGATATAATGATGACTAAAGAAAAATAATATATTTTTCATGAAAAAAGCATAAAGTTTGTCCCACTTGATTTGCTCCATTCTTGAAGTGAATGTGAAACGGTGCATAATAAGTCTAAAGAAAGACAAGTGGTTGACCAATGAACGTGGGCGTTCCAAAGATCAAATAATAACAGTCATCATCATGGTAATTGTAAAAAGGAGAACGATAAGGGTTCTCAAAATGGTCCTTCAAAGGTGAAGGAATATGTATCAGTGTGGTCTGTTAATACGAGACACGTTCATATGATTATAGTCCATTCGTTGAAAATGTGACTTGTGATAAGCATTGTAAATGCAGGCTCATTCCTGAAAGTAAATGCTGAAATATATATGTGATAAAAATTATGCATAAGAATGTGCTTATGCATGGTTGGATAAATACCACAACTCACCTCTAAGGGAGGTTTGAGAGAAATAAAGATAATGAATATTACAATATGGTTACATGAATATGTCATTGATCGCGTACACGCGGTACGCCAAAAATATTTTACCATGCCTTATAAAAAGTTATTAAAGGCAAAAGTAAAGCAAGAAATGGGTCTTGCCTATAATGTTTTTGATTGTGACAATGATAAGATAATTTTTTCCGTGGAGGAAAAATTCACCACTTGGATGGTGGTATAAAAGATCTTGTAGTACAAAATTATTGAGAGCTCCGAAAGAGCGAATTTGTTACTACCGGAATAAATAAAATTATTCATGGCATTGGTGGTAGTAAGTCTCAAAAAGGAACTTTTTGAGTTTCAAATATATTAGCCAAAGTGGTTGGCATATTGAGACTATAAATGAAAGGAAGATTGAATATCTTTATATTACTATATTCATACCGGGTAAATATGAAAGGTTACCCGATTTTTCTTCTATTTATACTACAGATGTATAAGCATGATATGAAATCACATGCCATAGTAAATTAAATGTTTACTGAAATAAATATCAGTTGGCATGACCGGTTGGCCATCCCGGTTTATTGATGCGAAAATTAATTTAGAATTCACATTGGCATATATTGAAGAAATAGAAGATTCTTCAAGAATTCTCTTGTGCTGCTTATTCTCATGAAATACCAGTTAAGGTTGGGACTGAATCCCTTGATTTCTGGAACGAATAGAAGGTGATATATATATATGGGCCCAGTCACCTGCCATGTGGATCGTTTACTATTATATGATTTTAATAGATGCATCTATTGTATGGTCACATGTACGTTTGTTATCAACTTGCACTTTGGTTTTGCAAGGTTGTTTGCTCAAATTATTATAGCACAGTTCCAGAATATATATGATAATTTATCTTGATAATGCTGGTTTAAATCCAAGTTGGTTTAGCAGAAATTGTATGCCTCCAATTATAGCTAAACCATTGGTTATGAGAACAAAACTCCCAAATAAAAATTTGGTATGAGGTGTATTATTTAATATACAACAACACTTGTACGCATCTAGCCAACAAGTTATGATAAATTCTCCCCATCACAATTGGTTCACGGTCAGGAACCAAATATTCCCATCTAGAAATATGGATGTGCTATATGATTTAATTGTGCTGCCACAATGCACAAAGATGGGTTCCCAAAGAAGGTTAAAAAATGTGTTGGTGATTCCGACATTAGGGGGAGAAAATGGGCAGCTAAAAAAGTGATACGTGAAATGAATTATTATGAATACATCTAGATCCTCGTACAAGAAAATGTGAACTTGAAGTTCAAGTGATAATTCATTTCTAAAATATTTCCAAGCACATTGCTGACCTAAAGTTAAATGTCATATTCCAGCTGCTAATGCTCCAAATAGAATAACGTCCATGATGGATATAGTTTATGGCACACATGAAGCGTAATAGACAAATCGGTTCCAAAGATAAAACTCCTTGAAGAAGGAGGGAGCAAATGTTCAAGATGGTCATAATAAGGAGGCAAGTGCTTTATAAGAGCACCATGACATAACACTTTATAAGACCTCATGGGAGAGGCTCAGGTACTTGAAAATAATGAGATCTCGATAAGTTATGTCTTTATTTTGTGATGATGGAACCGATGTAAAATGATCGTTGACGATGTTGTTAATATAATGTAGCGCTCAATATTATTAATATTGACGAGGATCTTGAGCTCAAATCTGTCATGGAATTTGGACAGATAAATGATTGGCCAAATGAAAAATATGCAATGAAAATTGACTTCATCTGAAAAATATGAAGTTTGGACGAATAGTCCCAACAACTGAGAGTATAAAGGCTATATGGAGATATTGAAATATGATTAGTATTATATTGCAAAAAGAATCCTTGATATAGATTTGTTTATTCTAACAAATATTGTCAAGGTTTTGTTGTTTATGCAAATGCAGGCATTTATTGAAGTCCGTTCTTCAAACAATCTATTTGTATGTGAGGAATTGTCATATTATCATTTCACAAGATGTGTGACTTTTCTTTGAAGAGAAGATTCCAATAATAATGAAGAAGCTGATGTTTGCTTATCTCAATTGAAAGAAGAATATTGAAGGAGACTGAATAAATCATATATTTCATCAAAGTTCTTTGTCAGACACGATCTTCAACAGAATGATGAAATAGATGTTCAAGAAATTCGTTCAAGTGATAATTTGGCGGAATAATTCACCAAGGCATTGCCTATCTCAATATTAGAGAAGTTGTTAGACAAGCTTGGAATTCGTCGTGATATTTTCATCAGGGGGAGGCAAATATGTGTTGTACTCTTTTTCCCTTAGCTAAGGTTTTATCCCACTGGGTTTTCCTGGCAAGGTTTTTAACGAGGCAGCAAATAAAGCGTATTACAGATATGTGTACTATTTTTCCTTCATTAGGATTTTTTTCCCATAAGGGTTTTTCCTAGTAAGGTTTTAACGAGGCACATTATCTTTGGACATCCAAGGGGGAGTGTTATGAAATACTTGATTATGGTGGATGTCCATAACTCCTAAGGGAGTAACACCCACTACTCTTCTCCATTAACCTCCCACTACTTCTTGCCATTATGGATGTAACTCCCACACCTCCATGATCTTCATCCATGTTCTCAATAGTTAATACCATATTTATGGAGTCCCTTTGTATTACCTATATCATCCTATAAATAGAGGGTTTGGGCATCACATTGTACACACTTGAATACATGGAAGAAATAGATTCTCTCCTCTCTTTCTCTCTACATTGTTGTCTATCTTCTTGTTTTATGTATTACTTTGAGCTAAATTTCGTAACATATTCCTTTTTTTCAAGTTGAAAGAAATAACATTACTAATAATACAGTCCATAAAACAAGTACAGTCAGACCTCTCTATAGCAGCATCCCTATATAACAATATTTCACTATAAAAATCAAGCTTTTCCGGAACCAATTTTCATGTTATGTTATAATATATGCTATCTATAACAACATTTCGCTATAACATTCACAAATACTCGGAAAAAACGAGACTGTTATAAAGAGGTTTGACTGGACCAAAAATCCATAATACAGCCAATCCTCTCTTTTAAGTAATTTGCAAAATTTTCTCCATGTCTTCTCATGAAATTATGGGTCAATTTAGCTTGTCATTTACTCTACTCTTAACTTTCCTTGTCTGATTACACTTTATTCCAAGAGCTGTAAAACACACACACAAAAAAAAAAGGAATAAAAATAGAAACAAAGACTTTATTCTCGGAACCAGCTTTTAAAGACCACAATAAAAATTAAAAGAAAATAAATAAGTGAGAGAAACTGCTAAAAAAAGAGAGAAAAAGAGTGTGTGTCTGTGTGTTTTCTCTCGTGTCAGTTTCTGCTTAGCTTCTCAAAATCTGTTGTCCCTTCAAAATTCCTCTTCTGTTTTCTGCTTTTTTCCTATCTTCAGTTCATTTTGCTTATTATAAGCACAATTTACTTTAGTTGTGTTCAAACAAAATTGTTCCCCTGATTTCAGAGCTTTTTGCAGTGTAATATTTTCTGAATTATTGTCAGAAAAATATGAATGTGTGATTAGTTATTCTTGGAGATTACACAACTAGCACAATTTCAAGAATGGCCTGTTTTTCTTCACTATTTGCATTACTGTAGTTTACATGCTCAAGAAAAGCTGGAGTCTTTTGTATCTCTTCTAATGGCAAACTGTAAGTCTTTCATCCAAAATTTTCATGTTCCTCTTCTTATTATACTTAAGTTTCTGGTATTTGTTAAATAATTTGGCTTTTATAGTTTTATTTTTCTGCAAAGTTTGGATTTTTATTGAACATTTGTGGTTCAGTTCTGTCCACATTTTCATTTTTTTCTGTTGGCCACTTTGATGTTTTGTGAACCTGCTCTTCTTGTTCAAGAATTGGTTGCAATTTTTGTCCAGTTCTAAAGTTTCAATCTTGTTGTAAGATCTGATATATTACTGGTAATTCTTACAAGTTTGAAGCCTGTGACTCTCTCATGATTTCTCCTTTTTTTAGTCCAACTGTCAGGGGGGGGGAGGAAAGTAGCATTTCAGAACTGGGGTTTGTATGAAATATTTGCAGAATTGCAAGGCAAGGCGAACTACAATAGACCCTTGTGTTCCGGTCCTTTTCCGGGCCCCGTGCACAACGGGATATTAGTGCACTGACTGCCCTTTTTTTTCCACTTGCCTTTGGACTAGAATGAAACCAGTAGCCAAGTCATCAAAGATGAAAGAAGTGCCAACTCCATTCATTGTTTTTCAACTTAGGTGAAATTTGCCATCATATAGTTAAAGGTAAAAACTTCATTTTTCTTTTTTTTTTTTTTTTTGTGGGGGAGGGGGGTGGGGGGAGGGTTGTTTGAGGAAGGCTAGTAATGGTTAATGGTTAATGAATAGTCTTTGTCTGGTTATGTTTGTATTACCGGACAATTAGTATATCTGCAGTGTCTTAGCAAATATCTACCAAATGAGCTAATTAATTGATATTGTACTCATTCCTGGAAATTAAATGCAGACTAAAGAGGATTATATACTAGATTAGTTCTTTCCCACTAATGCCACAAAGTGGACTTTCTTGGAAATGAAAGAAATGGGTATATATTTTTATTCTTTTAGTTGCCTCTCTCCTCTTTCTCTCAACTGAAGATTCCTTCTCAATAATCATTTTATGGAAAGTTCCTCACAACTGTTCAAAGTTCACTTACCTGTGTTTGGTTTAAATACGCATTTGTTAATTGAACAATTCAAGGTTTCATTGAGAAATCATAGTTGGGCCTTGTCGCAAAGGGCAGGCGGTCACAATGGCAGGTGGTCACAGCTATGTATATCATATATTATCCTCAAAGGATCAAAGCTGTATCAATAGACCGGCTAACATGACTAGTAAAATCAGGCTGTTAGCCAAATAATTTCCGTACTGCAATACACGAACCCTGCGTGAACGCGGGATGCCCTTAATACACGAAAGAGTCTGGAATTGTGTGATATCTCTGTTTTAAGAAATTAAAAGTGCATGGACCAAGGGTTGTAATGTTCTGATGTGAAGTTGGATGGAGAATAGTTGTTAGGAAGGGCTTGTTATGACGCACATATTTCATGGCGTGCTAATAAAAGTTGGTTTTTGGAAGGACGGACATGAAGTTTGGTAGAGCTAGCGTATTGTAATTTCGTTACCACCATGTTCTTCTGCCCTCTAGGTTCATATAAAATGCATTAGATCACTCAGAAAACAGATTCCATGTATGGTGCTAATAAGCATTGTATGCCATGTTAAGTTTCATGGTCAATTGTGTAATATTAGATGTTTCCCTCTTCCTTCTTTTTTTCATTTATTGAATCCCGGTGATTTTGGTTCTCAAAGTAATTTAAGTAAGGGAAAGAAATTTCTCGAAAGCACAAGGCTAATGTTTTCCCCAAATGGGTTGGTCTTGTTTTTGGACTGACAGCGCTGGCAAACATGACCGAACTTAGTGAAAAAACAACTAGCTATGATTGTGATCTTTGCGTCTTTCAGTTCTTGACCTATCATTCTTTCATCAGTATATTATTAAGTTTGTCTTTGCATTGTTTCTTTTCTTGGTTGTTCTGTCGACTGACTTCTTAAACTTTAATATGAAGCCTTATGCTTTTCTTTTCATGCAGATATACAAGACGCCAGTGGGTTTTGAGTGATTTTCGTTTTTTTGCATAGTAAAAGGAAAATGACTTTAAAATCAAAGAAAGGATGGAATTCAGTAGTGCCCCTCCGTTTGAAGACCAAATCATCAGCAAATTTTTGTTTGCTCCCCAGAGTGAAGTCAGATCGTTTTGGTCCTGGTGAGACGCCAGTGTGTCTCAACGTGTATGACTTGACACCTATGAATAACTATGTCTATTGGGCTGGCTTTGGTATCTTTCATTCTGGTGTGGAAGGTAAGAGTCATTATTTAGCTTTTTCCTCTTTACTTCTTTTTAGTTATTCACTGTTACTTATGTTAGAATGCACCTACGCGAGGTATCGTTCTTGTAAATATATGGTTCTATACGGATTCCTTTTCCTATCTTATATGTTGATTTTACTAATTGTTTAATGAGGGATTGTATCTCCAAGATTATGTGTACATATTATCATATGCTTGTCTGTCTTACATGCCATTTAGCTATTACGAGATAAAAGAATTTCATTAAATTCAGGATCTGAAACTTGCCTCTAGGGTATATTCATCTTGTGTCTTAATTTAGTAATGGTGGTCTCGCTAGAACTGAGAAGCTTCTAATTCAGTTCGAATTTCAATTTGATTGGTATATATATATATATAAGCATGCATTGGAGCTTGTTCGTTGTATTTTTTGTCTGATAATATTTGGTATGCATCACAGTTTGTTCGTAGACTTTTACTTTTGACGTGTTATAGAATCTGGCACTTCTTACTTCTTAGTTCATCTTGGGATGTTTTCTGAAGAAGAGAATGCTAGTTCTATAGTATTCCCAGCCAATATATATTAATTACCTATTTTCATTTATAGTTTTTGTTGGTACCTGCAATCTGTTTCTCGTAGAAAACTGCATTTTCTGCAAGATCATTGAGTCGGTTTAATGAAACCTCAAGGTTCTCTTAATATTACACTTGCTTATGAGGCTTGAGATGAAATTTGAAATGAGTTTATACTACTGCTCGGAATAGACATGTCTCTAATGCAAATCTTGGATGCATCAGATACTATCTTTTGGCTATTAAAAGTTACTTAACAACTGCTCTTCCACTCTTAATCTGTATGGTAACCTCATATGAATTTGAACTCCAGTTTTGTGAAATGAACAAGTGAGAGCTACGCTTTGTAGTTACTTCCTGTTTGTGTGTTTCATGGTGGGATGTCAAGGGAACCTTGGCGTAACTGGTAAAGTTGGTGCCATGTGACCAGGAGGTCATGGATTCGAGCCTTGGAAACAGCCTTCTGCAGAAATACAGAGTATGACTGCGTACAATAGACCCTTGTGGTCCGGCCCTTCCCCGGACCTCGCGCATAGTGGGAGTTTAGTGCACCGGGCTGACCTTGTGGTGGGATGTCATATTGATATATAAACACTTTTTCTATTAAATGGAGAATTTTTTTTTTACTTCAGGCGTGGATAAATAAGTATATTGTCTCTAGACATACCAATGAACCTGGTAGTTGATCTGCTGCCAAAAGCAGTCTCTGCTTTCTATTCTCATATTTTTGAATTTAACCTAATGTAACCTATACTTCACAGTTCATGGTGTAGAATACGCATTTGGAGCTCATGACTACCCGACCAGCGGTGTCTTTGAAGTTGAACCGCGGCAATGCCCAGGATTTAAGTTTAGGAAGTCGATATTTATTGGGACCACAAAGTTGGATCCCCCTCAGGTTAGAGAGTTTATTGAACATCAAGCTGCTGCCTATAATGGTGACTCGTACCACTTGATTGTGAAGAACTGCAACCATTTTTGCAAGGATATATGCTACAAGCTGACTGGGAAGAAGATTCCGAAATGGGTGAACCGACTTGCAAAATTAGGTATCCCTTTGCCATTCCACCTCTTTTTAATTTTTTTTACCGTGTCATAACCTTATATTAGTTTTTCTAGCTTCTGTTACTGCTCTATTGTCTATTTTCATCTTCTTGAGCCGAGGATCTATCAGAAACAACATCTCTAGCCTCTCTACTCCTATTATCCACCAAGTTTGGATAATAGGAGTGGAGGGGGGGGGGGGGGGGGGGGGGTCTATTATCCACCAAGTTTGGAACCGTGTTCCATTGGCCCTCGGGATTTTTAGGTTATAAGAAAAAAGAATTAACATTGAGTGTTCTCATATTTTAACAAAGCTTATTAACTATTGTGTATGATATGCTCTTCTTTTCTGGTTTACATAGGTTCAGCATTCAACTGCATGTTACCTGAGGCTTTGAAAATTGCTGCTGTCGAAGACGAACCTAATGGCCCAGAATACGTGAGTGAAAAGAGAAGGTTGAGAAGTACTTTCAGTTGTCTTTCTTCAATTTCAACAAGACAGCAGAAGTTATCTACGTCTTCGATGTTTCTACAGTCACCCCTTAAAGGCTGCTTACCTTCTTGGGAGTTAAGAAAGTCTACCAATCGCTCCGTAAAAGAAAGGTAAACATTATGGACCCTTTTGTGATCCCATTTCCCTTGGAATATCCTGAAGAAGAAAATATGTGAAGCTACACCGTGTGTTTCATGAAAACAAAGAAATGATTGAGATTAGCTTGCTTTAAGGTGGTGTACTATTTGTAATGTGGCATTGCAGTGAATGCAATATGCCTTGCTTGATCCCTTATCTTTAGAGTAATTTCTGTCTCATTCATCGATTGATCACGCGAGTATGTCAGAAAAAACACGTACATCCTGCATTTGAGAAAAAGTCTGTCAATTGATCTCTATTCATTCGGTCAAGGTTTCCACTTTTCACGTCGTTCTACTAAGAGGCACCATGTTGAGAAATCACCAATCCCTTGGAGCAGTATATTTGCCATTTTAAGTCTGGTGATATGCCGGGATGCTATACTGCATATGACTAGTGCTCTTTTACAGTTTAGGCTTTATTCTTTACTGCAGAATGTTACAGTTGTACTACCTTTTCTACTGTAAGTTATATTAATTGTCTTGGTAAATACTTTAGCTTGCGGCATATACAAATGGATATCAAAAACAGAATATGTTCGTTTTAATAGAAGCCATGGTTTTCATTTATTGCAATGCGAACCAAATCTAACTAGTCAATAAACTCTGCTAATCAACGCAGGAAAACTACTAGGGGAGACAGATTATGTTAAAATGGACTTGCAAATAAAATTATATATAGGTTGATACAGATTAACGACATGTTTGGTGCGTTTTCTTAAGTTACTTTCTCATTCTCTTCCATCATACAATCCAAATGAACTCGGTCTGTTACTTTTGCCCTACACCACAGAAGTGCCGTCATAGTTTCAGAACAAAATTTAAACCAAATTAGTCTAAAACTAGCGAGAAAAATTTAACAAACGCATGATGCTAAGAATAACTTGGCTAAATTTACAAAACACAATAACATCAATTGTAACATCTCTGTCCTCTCCCCCCCTAACCCCCTCTCCTTCCAATGACAATCTTCAATAGTGTATAAGCATACGAAAAGAGAAATAAGCACTTCCAGATGCGGGGAATGATATTTGAGGCAGCGATGATGCCTCCAACATACTTGATTTCTGATCTTTGAATACATTAGCCAAACACAAAATCGAACAATAACATTTAGCGCTCCTGATAGCCAAGAAGCAGTTGTCTAGCTCAGAAGCAATCGTCAAGGAAAATTAGTGGAACTATATTCACATACCCGAAGATGAGGGAAGAGACTAAACTAATCTTGGGAATTACACTTAACCCAGCCAGCAGCACTAGCTGCTAAGCGGAATCACTCTGTTGGGTCTGTCAAAATGGAAGGTAAATGAATAGGAAACAAAGATATTTGAGCATGTAACCACTGGCTGTGGCCAAACAATGATGTCCATAGGTCCATTTTCATTGATATAGACACAAAGAATGCTTCATCTGGAAGGTTATCTTCATATAACTTTTGCAAATAATAGAATCACAGAATGAATATACAGATGGCGAATCCGAATTACTGTTGACAAAACAAACCTGCACGAACACCAAAGAGATGCTTCAGATAAACAAATGTCCAAGATGCTCGGTAAAACATTGCCTAACTGTCATGTAACACATGATATACAAAACATAAAACCTCTCAAACTGGATACTTGAACAACAAATGTCCACTCAGGATATCAACAAAAAAGGATACTCTTTGATACATGAAGATACAGAACACCCAAGTTTTCTTATTTTAGATAGTAGAGAGGACAACCCCACTGTGTCATTATATTCAGAAACAACACAACTAGTATCACACTTGGACTAGATATCATTTCAGTGTCCAGGCGATGAAATGATCAATCGTCTTTCTGATGGAAAACAGTAGGCATGCTATTATTACCATTGAGAGCAGCATGATATACTCGCTTCTCTGCCAAGCCAATATCTGAGAGTATTAAATTACCCTGCAAGAACAGAGGAATGCGATCATCCATCAGTACATAAGTGCACAGAGGAATGAAACTGCCCGGCATTAATTTCACATGCTTACTTAACATGCCTTGGGAGAGATTACATGGTGAAAAGACTACTACTTTCTAGAGATAAACATCCGTTGTTTACAGTGTAGAGATCCTGATACTAAACTCTCCACTTTCAAGGAACACAAATAAAGTGCACAGAGAAAATGGGTGACTCTCCAAATTGTGGAGGACTCCTATTTGCTCTACGACATTTCTACAAAAGATAACACAAGCTCAATATGGGACGTGGGTTGACATCTCCAGATTGTGGAGATGTTTATCCACAACCTATTTTCTACAAAACCACATCTGATGAGCAAGAAGCAACGAGTGAAATTTCATTCTTACAACAAAGTTCAATGAAGATGTGTTCCCCTAATTGTAGGGAGAAAAAGGCGTAAAACTAGCACATCATATTCCTAACAGGACTCTAGGGTAGCTTTTATGTTCTTACTCTTTAAATATAATGATTGAACTGTCGTTAAGGAAAAATTGCACATAAACCATACCTCATGAGCCATCAACCTCCGGACATTCTCAGCATAAAGTCTAGGGTCATCCTTTTCTTGCTGAGAGGGGTAGTAAACAGGTAACCAGGTTGCCTCCACATAATTTACAAATTGACAGAGAAGGAGAATCACATGCCGAACCTGCAAGAAGAATTGCATTTTCATCCTATCAGTGGGAACGGGTCTTATTTAATGAATTTTTTTGCAATCAGCAATATCTTCATATATCAGAACAAATATTGAAGTATTGGATACTGAATTTTCCTTGTTGTAATGACTAACTTGGTGCCTCAAAGTTCATCTTCAAATCTATCATTTAACTATTTTGTGGTCAAGAAACCAAGTTTCCCACAAAAACTTAAAATGTTATAGATGATATCTGTATTCTGTTACACCAACTGTCAGAACAGGGAACTCAAAGTTCAGGGTTCATTGCACAAAGGCAGGAAAACAATTCGTACATGACTAAATGAAAGAAAATTATACTTGCGAAGTCCAAAAGTAGCAACATAACATGTTTTAAGAAGAACACAAAAGACAACCATGGTGTTAGGAGGGGGCGTGAATATAGCCAGTAACAGATCACAGTATTATGCAACTGCATCAACCACTGAAGAGGAAGTACTACCATGTCTTCTTAAAATGACAAAGCAAGTTTTAAATCACCAAATACTTACCCCAGATATTGAGTCCCACGCTGGACTTAATCTCTGGTATGGATATCTTAATATCACAGGCTGCACTGGAGCTCCCGACAGAAATGCACCAGACTTGAACGGAAGGAGAAAATCACCATTTGTGGTTGTGCCTTCTACAAGGATAAAGAAAACAGATCAAAACTGTAGTAAACCATCAAAAGTCAATCTTTGCAAGGATATCCAAGAAATGAAATAGAGGGTGTTTGTGTCAGCTTAAAAGCTGGTCAAACTAGATTTTAAACACTTTTTTGTTTATTTTGGTGTATGGTAAACACCAAAAGTGCTTTGAAGCCAAAACAAGCCAAAAGCTATAAGATGGGCACCCCCAATTAATGGCTTTTCAACTTAAAAGCTCTTTAGGTTTGACCAACTTAAAATCAGCTCAAGCACTTAAAAAGCGTTTTTCAAGGTAGAGACTTCTAAGGGTATTAAAGAAGTTTTTTTTATATTCCAAGTAATACCCAAGGTTTAGATACATTGGAAGACCAAAAATAATTACTAAGCAAATGTTTGAACTCTTTAAATAAGTCTAATATATTCTAAGCATATTTTGTGTGAGCAGTTGGTCTGTCTGCTCAATGAACAACTTTACATCATTGAATTTAGTAGAAGAAGACCATGTCCAGAAGGAAATGAATTAAAGACATCTCAAAGTCTGGTACCAGCACTGGGAAGAATGAAGTACAAACCGCTAGAAGAATCTTGGAGTACTATTTAAGGTGAAAAGGCTATCCAAAAGCAAATAAAAGTTTAGGCACACTGATAACATTAACTAAATGCCAAAGATGTGATATCTCTCATCTATCTCTCTTTCACTAAGCAAAAGAACCCATATCTACTATCACTCATCTATGAGCTAATCAGTGTTAAACAGATAACAAGATTGGTAGAAGAAATGTGCAGTAAAATGCGTGAGAGAATTCAGTGGGATGGCACACTAAAAGCAACATTGACCTGGAAAAAGCAGCATGATTGGTGCAGATTTGTTCTGGTGAGCTTCACGAATCCTTTCATTTACGACACCTGCAAATTTACAAGTTTAATCCTAAGGATGTCGCAAAAATTAAAGCTGCATACCATATGCAAGGAAGGAGAGGGTAAAAGACAAGGGGAAAGATGGAAAGGGGTGGAAAATATATGAACAAAGACTATCCTCCTCCGCTTTCCACTACAAATAAGAGAAAGCGCCATATTTTTGCCCTCTTCGGCTTACTTGCTTTTATAGACAAGACACTGTGAATACAAGATCCTTACTAATTTTAGTCACCTATGGGTAGAGCTAGCATTTAAGTTAAATAACATTTGAAAAACAGTTCTACTACGTCTCTGCAAGAGTCATGGCGCAGAAGATTTTACCTTGAAAGGCTTCCGGACATGCCAAGTCTATAAAGCCATAAATGTTTCCATGATTCCCAAACCATTTTGTAAAAGAAATTCAGCCGTCACTTGACCGGAAGAGACTCCCTCTATCCTATTTTACCTAAAATCTTTTCACTAAGCATAAAGTTTAAACTATTAATTGAACTAGTATATTATATTAGGAGTGATAAAGGACCTTTTTTGGTCATTTACATAATGCAATACATTCCAGCATTGAAACGTGTAAAAATAATATAGAGATTACCACATATAATTTGCAGGTATTATGATAAACAAAAATGGTAATCAAACGTCAAATTAATGATGCAGAGTTCTAGACAAGACTACTTTCTCTTATACCTCAAAAAACTAAACAAGCATTATAGTTGTACCAAATCTAGTGCAATATTTTTGTTACCTGAGACACCTTTAAAGTCAGGTGATCTCGATTCTCGCTGGACATAGACACAGCCAAGGCACTTGCTGTAAAATCAAAAAAAAAAATCACTGGCAATTATATGGAGTTCATGCTAATCAATTAACTCTTTCAAACCAAGCATATGTATCTGTCATGTGAGCAAATGTGAAGAGTTCAATATATCCAACTCATGTATCGTTTTGAGGGAGTGTTAGATAACTATGTATAATGTAAATATAGTTAAATTTAGATGAATATGGTAAATAGTACTCCATGTCAGTAGATGTATCTATGTGCATTGAATAGTGTGAATATAAAAGATTTAGACGTAAGACTTTTGACTTCATGAAGAGTGATCTTTTCTCTCTTTTTTTCAGAATATAACTATATCAATCCCTATATTAACAGATAACTGAATAAATGGCAACAACAACAAAAGAAGCTATGACTAACCTGATGAGACCAACCAGAGGAAGCTTAGCCACTGATCTCTTCAGCAATAAAAACAAAAAGGAGCAAGGTCAGGAGATTAAGCAAAGAAGTATGTCCAAGGTCAAGAGTAAAGAAGTGGGTTCATCGAACTAAAATTAATTATGTCGCAATCACATTTTACCCATATGGTAAAAGAAGTCACAGACCTTAGCAACAAAGCTAGGAAATGAGGAAGACATGTGATACAAGATATCCAAGTACGAGATGTGATTTGACACAATAGCCCCTGGTCTTTCAAGTTCTTCAGCCTGATCTTTTGATCCATGCTGGCAAAGAGAAAAAATTACCATGTCACGCGTCAAAGCAGTTAAAAACCAAGGATATTAGTTGAAAGACAATTATAGAAGAAATTTTTATCACAAATCTACAGATTAAATAAACCAAGTTCCCATATTAATCATATAGATATATGTGTATCTATAGATGAGCAGAAAATTAATTTACAACACTGCATTATATTATGAACCAGTGTTAATAACAAGCTTCTTATATTTTCTCATATTTAGTTAAACGAAAATATAAGAAGGAAGTCCGTTCACAAATTTACAGATCAAATGAACCAAGTTTCCCACCAATAATCCATAGATTCATGTGTACAATAGGTTATTCATGTGTACAATAGGTTACAACGCAACATTACTTCATGAACCAGTATAACGCACTTAATCATGTAAAATTGCCAGTAATTCTTCCTTTAACCGGTTCAACTGTTTTGCTCTGACCAAAAGTTGGGGTCGGAGCAATCCAATCGTATATTGGTTACTGTTTTTTTTTAATATTCATTGCATCAAATTGCATATGGGTAGTATAGAGGTTTTCTAGTAATTCTCCCATTTCCCCAACAGGCCAACACTATGCAACCCTCCCTCCCCTCAACACAACAATGATACCAGCAACTATGCCTCGGTCCCAATCAAGTTGGGGTCGGCTATATGAATCATCACTGACCATGTTACTCTATTTAAACTCATCTCGTGCCAATATTAAACAAAATAATAACAATAATAATAAACAAGAACAAAAAGTGCTAGAAGCTTATGTTTTCTACTGAATTCTATTGATTGAGTAACTCGACGAAAGGCCAAACAACTCCTAGAAAAGCATAGGACCTAAAGTAAAAGTGCTAACATACTTTCGGGCAACCAAAAAAACGAGAACTTTAAGGTCTGTCCATAAATAGAAAGCTTTAGTAAGTAATTTCAGCTGATGCATGCCCAAGTTAAGTAATGTGCCTAAAAACTGAAGGAATTTTTATATGTCACTTTTACCAGTTGTAGCAGGTAAACTATTTCAAGAACATTTTTTTACACACAGTATATATAACTTAAACTCTTAGAACAAACAACATTCAATAATTACAACTACAATTTATTACCTCATTATTTGAGTTGGCATTGAGATCAATGGGGCAATAAGCTTCGCTAATCCAATAGAATCCAAAAACGAAAAGCATTACTCTCGAAAGGAACATCCCACTCTGCATCATCACAACCCTTCTCCACCCACCAATATGCGCATAATCCTCCTGCTCTTCCTCTTCCTCTCGATTCGGTGCTGAAAACGCTGTACAAACCTTACAAATCAAGTAATACACAACCAATACAGTCATTGCCCCAACAACTCTCATAGGTACAACCGTCACAAGCGCAATACCCAAAAGCACCTTCTCGGTCCATGGCAGTTCGCCCCGACCCATTACTCCATACACGTCATGCCTCACATATGGAGCGTATTTCTTCTCTAATTCATCGATGCTGGGGTTAGAACTAGAAGACTGGGATTGAACTTGGAGTTGAGGGTTAGTCGGGTCGGGTTTGAGAAGTGGACGATCGTCTTTGGTAAGGGAACTTTCGTCCACGGATTCGGGTTGTGTTGTTTGGGTAGTTTTAGGTGGTAAATTTTGGAGTTCGGACTCCATTTTTTTGGAACCCGATTGATTGATTCTCAACGGGATATTTTGAGCACACAGTTGTTATATCTTCTCTATCTATTGGATAACCATTGTTGTAATGATTTTGCAGAAAAAGGAAAAATAAAGAGAAGTGTTGTGTTATTTGCTTGTAGATCTGGGCAACTTCTGTGTAAGGAAACGCAATCCAAATAAAACTAAAAAAGTTTTAAATTAAATCGCACTTACTCTCCACTTTAGTGTTATTGCAAATATCCTGTCCCACAACTTTCAAATATTACATTTACATCCCCCCATTTTCATGTTGTATTTTTTTGTTTCTTTGTTCTTGTTTTTTTTTTTTTTCCCTAGTACTAGTACGAGGATAAGGATAACTCAATTAGGAGAAATGTGATTAGGACACAACTACTTCGGCCTCGTACTACTTTAATTTTCAGTCAAAGTAATCACAATTTTTATAGTTTTTTTTTTGTTATAAAAAAATTATACGATTTGATTTTCTAAATAGTAGAACTGTAGAAGGTCTCATTTATTTATTTTTAAGATTAAAAACGCCTGAATCTGAATACACATATGAATATCAAGATGTGTATTAAAATTAAGACATCTGAATCTGAATATAATAAGATGTGTATTAAGATCTTAATACTAAATAATTAAGACTATTTGATTTTTTAACATCTGAATGTATAAAATTTATTTTTATTTGAAAATTAATAAGCATAAAGTTCAAATGAAATACTAACTAATCTAATATTCTATCAATAAAATATATAATTTTTTAAAATATGATAGTTGTTGGTGGTGATGGCTAACGGGTGAATGCCGACTAGAGACGGTGGTTGGTGGTAGTTTTGGTTGATGATGTGGTTCATGCTAGTAGATAGTAATGATTGGTAGTGGTGGCGATTATGATTGAGGATGGTGGTGGCGATAGTTAATAATGGCGAGTGGTGGTAGTAATTGTGACTATGGAAGGTGGTGGGTGGGTGGGTGGGTGGGTGGTGGTAGGTTATAATGATGGGCACCTGTGATTGTTGATGGTGATGGGGTGGTCGGTTGTGGTAGTTGAGGTGTATGAGTGTTGATTGTGGGTGAGAATGATGGTGGTCGAAGTGGTGGGGATAGTTGGTGGTGATGGTCGATAATTGTGGCGGCTATGATTGAGGATGATGGTGGCGTGGTGGTGGTGGAGGTGGTGGTGGGGGTGGTTGAGTATGGTGGTGGCGGCGGCATGGTGGTAGTTGATAATGGTAGGCAGTGGCGGCAGTTAATAATGAATATGTGATAGCATCTTAATGAAATTAAGTATCTGTTATAGATCTTAATCATACAGACCTATTCAGACCCATTAAGTGCTTGTGAAGTAAAAAAATAAACACACTTAATGATTAAGATATGAATAATTAAGATTCAGACTTTAAAAACAAACACACATAATGTTTGAGATCTGAATGATTAAGATTCGGACCTCCATTAAGTGCAAACAAATGAGGCCGAAGTATCTTCTTCGTAATAAAGGAAGGAATTTTTATATTCCTATACACTATATGAAATAATATTACCCTCCCTACTCAAGTTTTACTATAATTACACTTTATATACCCAATTACCATTTATGTACATTTTAAGGGAATTAATGATATTAATTAGTGTCCTAAAATAACTCTACCGTATATTTCCACTACCCCCCCCCCCCCCCCACATTTCTCTCTCCACATCCCACCCCCTCACCCATGTATCTTGCACTCACCCACAATTTTCTCTTCACAAATCTCAGAAATCCTCCATTAACGCCTATTTCATCTCTTCTTAAAAAACCAGACAAATTTTTTACTCTTATTCAAAATTCCTACCTCCATTAACGTCTCTGATTAGCTTGATTTTCAATGAAGAAGAAGATATCTTCAAAGAACAACCTAGAAAAGACAAATGAGCAGATATTCCTTCATTTGATTTGGGTATTTTCTCAGCAAATTTACCCAAAAAGGCTTCAAAACCAGCTCATACAAAAGAAGAGAACAAGACCAAGCTTTCCCCTCGTGAAGCTAGGGCAGAAGCTCGAACAAAGCAAAAGCACGATATTGATGCTGGTGAATCTTCGATACCTGTCAAATATGCGAAAAGGAAAGGCAAAGAGATTGATTTCGATCATGATTTCGTCGAAGAAAAAGTTGCCATTAAAGTTGCAAAAAAAGTTAGAGTGTCTCCTAATGTAAAAGCTTCAAAAAAAAAGAAAGTTCAAAAATCTTCTAAAACTGTTCCCCAACAGTCATTGGTGAAGGGTAAGAATTTATTAGTTTCAAAAATATATTTTTTTAAAAGCTAAAAAATTTTGTTCTCATTCTTATGAACCTATATAATGTTTCATTTTGTAGTTTGTAGAAATTTTGTCTACATTATGTAGATTTATTGTAGATTTATAATTCCTGATTGTAGATACATTTTTATATAAATGTTTGCCTTGTTTTGACTCTGTTTAAAGATTGTAGAAATTTTTTAGTAAAATTGTAGTTATATTATTTTATGTTTTTGACTATGTTATGTAATTGTAGCTATATTGTATTAAAAATGTAGATATTTTATCTTTTAGGTTTGAGCCTTGTTTTAATAAGAAATTTTTCACCTTGCTGTAGAATGAAATGATCCTTTTTTTGCACCTCATAATGTTGATTATGGGGTCGTTAGGTTTCAGACATTATCCGACCCTAGTATTCCTGGCCAAATCAAAGATTTATTGTCGGTGAGATACCACAGCAAAAAGAGGAATCACTGTATGAAAAAACTTCTTTTCCTTCTATCTATTTAACAGATTTTTTTTTTTCTGCTCATGGTATGCTAAATATTTTCCCTATTTTTCTCTTTTGCAGTGACTGTGGTGTATATGTTGTTGCATTTGTAGAGTATGCATGCATTAGAGACCTAGCAGTTTCTAAGGATGACCTTTCTGATATTGATCAACATCGTAGACGCTATGGAGTGCTACTGTGGGACTACGCCAGGAAGAAGCAAGATACTGGTGCAATTAGTGAGATCGAGGTGACTGCAAATTAGGAAGGAAAAAAGGTGCACCGGTTGTGAACGAGAGAACACAAGTCCGAAAGAAGAAGAATTAGTTGCCATTTTCTGTAGGAAAAATGTAGTTAAATTGTTTAGTTGCAGTTGGTTTTGTAGAAAGGTTGTAGATAAATTGTTACTTATGAACAAGTTAGTTGAAGTTTAATTGTAGCAGATTTATGCTTCAATTATTTTACCCTATGTTTTGTTATTTTATCCAGGATACTAGTGCTAACAATAGGAAACATTCTGTTATTTTTATCTTGATTGGTCAAAAGTTATTAGTACTTGATCTCATTATTGTTAGCATAAAACTCCTTTAGAACTTAATTATTATGTAGTTATTCTGTCAACGCCAGATTATGTAGTTATTTTGTAGATAACTTGTAAGATCATTATTCACTAATGATTTGTGCTATAGATAATTAAATAATTGTGTATTATAGATACAAATCATTCATAATTCAATCAAGTTATGAAAGTTTGAACTCAATACACTCAGTAATTAAACAAAATAAATTCAAACCAACTACATTAAGAGTTGAAAATATTTCATTATAGGAAACAGTCTTTACTCAATTTATCAATACAATTACACCTCAACTATAATTCTCCTGAACACTTCAACACTTTTTATCAAAAAATCCGTTGACTATATCAAATTTTATTTCTTCTTGGGAGCATTCTTGCAAGATCTTTTGTTATGCCCTTCTATTCCGCAGTTGCCACATAAAACCTTGTACTTCTTTGCATTTATTTCATCATATGTTTTGTATCTTTATTTTTGAGGTCTTCCTGGCTGTCTTTTCCCCGTAGGTGGATTTACAACTTCTTCAGCTATATGTTGTGGCACATTCCATTTGCTTTCATCAGGCACCGGGTCTACTGGCATTTCATAAGTATGCAAGAGGCTCTCCATCGTGTAATAAGGAGAACAATATTTTTTATAAGACTCATTCATGTGCCTTAAAGCAGCCAAAGCATGTGCACAAGGAAGTTCATCGTGCTGGAATTATCCACAACTACATCTCTTGTTTTCAAGACAAACAATATAGCGCTTCACACCATCTATCACTATATGGATGTAATCTGTTGAAGCCCTCACCTACAATTACATTACAAACACACAACATATTATCAGCAACATATACAAAATAACGACAATTATTCAACAATTTATCTACAATGTCTGTTAATATTTTAGTTTGATGCAATAATTGATCAGATGTTATTGGATATAGCTTACTTTAAGCTTCCGCGACAATGTTCTGTTGTCCTCTAACTCTTTGTTGTATTTTAACCCAAGGTATTTGAATGTACCATTTGCTTTCAATAACTTTTCATTAGTCTAACATTCAAGAAGAGTCCTCATGTACTCTAATAGTTCTACTATCGACACCTCTCTTGCATCTCTTGTTACCGCATTCAATGACTCTGCAATGTTTGATGTCATAGTCCAAGTTCTGTTCACCGTAGCATGTATTCGAGACCATCTGTGATAGCCAATATCGTATAAGTATGCTTTAACACGTGTGCCGATCTCTTCAATCTTTGACATTCTTTCATTAAATTCATCAAGCGTGTATGATCGTGCCGTGGCAAAGTATAATTTTCTTAACTTTAGATGACCGTTGTTGAACTTTAACCTTATATTTGTCTAAATATGCCACATGCAAGAATAATGTGGCATGCCGATATAAACAATAGATGTTTGCCTTCAAGATACTCTCATTCCGATCCGAAACAACACACATATTTGATTTTTCATCATATGCATGTTTGAATTGCTCAAAAAACCACTTCCATGATGCGTCATTTTCTGAATCAACAACAGCATATGCCAGTGGTAATATGCTACCTATCATATGTGGCAAAAAGGAATTCAATTTCCATCATAAAACTGTAGATAAAGAAAAATACATACAAACAACACATTTTCAACAATATATCTACAATACCTGTTGCATCCATTATGCTAGTTGTTAGCATTATTCCCCTGTATGCCGACTTCAAGAAGGTCCCATCAACTACTATAACTGGCCTACAATATTTTCAACCATTGATTGACGTACTAATCGCAAAAAATGCATACAAGAAACAGTCATCGCCGGTCTTCCTCAATTTAACTACCGACCTCGGATAAGTCT